AAAACTCCATTAAAAAAACAACAACCCCAAAATTAAAAAAAACAAAACAAACCCAAAACGGAACAGACCGTTTCAGATTTCTGTTCCAGAGAGGGGCGTCGACAAGCAGTCCAAACAGTGTGTCTCTATAGCCTGATATCATGTAACAACAGCATTGAAAAAAAAGAGGAATAAGCTAAGCTCTGAGAAACTGAATCTGGGCCGCTCTGGTGTTGTTTGGTTCGCACTAGAAAGATAGAAATATATTTGGGCGCTTCTCTTAACAGAGTCGTCGGACCTTGAAAAAGATTCCACAAAAGCCTTTACTTTTAGCATGTTTTAGAGCGGGATCATGATGTACAGCGTGTAACATAAATATAACTTGTGAAACTACGGACGGTATCCTTAATACTCAAGGTATTAAAAAAACAACAGCCAAAAATCCCCTACCCCAAAAAAACAAAAACAAAACCACCTTAATAGAAAATTGTTATCCGAAACGGACACGCAGTAGTATATATGTCACCATCGGCACTAATGAATACGCTTTATTTCATATCTCAAATAGAGGTTAATTTCTAAAAACTCTCTTAGCTCTTTCCCTCGTATAAGATACGTCATTCTATAAACATGTATAATAATGTAAAACTCCCCGCCGTCACCAAAAAGAACGGGGCTCAGTTCTCAAACGAGGGACCCATCGTGTCATGATATCTGACCTTCTTTGGAGTGTCCACGTATGCTGCTTTTGCATTCTATTTATTCTTAAAATACCTTTGGAATACATTGTTTCTACTAAAAACAAATGCCTTCTATTTTGGAGAACTAGATCTAATGTCACAATAATATCATTATTAATATTGATCAAATAGAGATATATGTGGACCAGAATCTTTTATGTACTAGTGGATCTTCACTTTGCATGTTTAAAGCTTGAGTTTGATTTTTACCTGGATAGGACAATACAATTCGATTAAGTGTATTCATATTTCTTCTAGGGTTTACAACACGCATCTCGGCTGGTCTTTCCAGGCAGGGTCGATTCATCCACCCTTCAAGGGAGCACTGCAGTTGGCAATCAACCCAGTTTGTACAGGCGTATGTGTTTGGTGTCCTAAGGGGTCGATCGGTACACAGACCTCACTTGTACCACCCTCCAAGCATAAATCCAGGACCTGCCATGCTTGCGATACCCACACTCTACATACTGCTCTGAAGTGATAAGTAGAACATCCTCCTTTAGAAAAAAACAACAACCCAAAAACCCCCGGATCGGACACCCCCTGTCCTCCAAAATGACAAAACAAAAGAAAAAACGACACAAAAGTAAAAACGCAAACTACCCCCCCCCCCACAAGAAACAGATTAAAACTTAAGAAGTCAAAACAGCCAAAAATAAAAGACTAACAACAAAAATCCTGGCAATAAAACTCGAACAACAAAAAGTAAATAAGAACACAAGGAAACCCCCAAACCAAAAAACCAAAACAAAACAGAACACAAAACAAACAAACAAACAAACAAACAAATCAAGCAACCGACGTTACCTGGCACTCATCAGACGTGAAGTACTGAGCCCTCTGCACTTTAGAAGTCGTCTCTTCAGTTTCGACGTCACCATTTTTTTGATCGTCGCCTTGTTGCCTCTCGCTCGCATCATCCTGCCCTTTCTCCCCTCGACCCTGGCTCTGTACGACGGCTGGCATCTTCGACCACTCCTTGGAGTCGAACAGGTCCGTGTCACTGCATCGGATCTCAGCGAACCTTTTACAAGTAAAACCACATTGAAGAAGAGGATCTTCGCCTGAAGAGGATCATCGGTTTTGTGTTCGTGTGTCCAATTTCCTGGCTGCATTTAACTCAGTATTTCGCTATCCTAGAATTACCAAATTTTTTCAGCTCAGAACCTAGTTTAAGTTTTGAGAAATTTGACGTTAAAAATGTTGAGTTTCACAATGACATTTCGAGTACACTTCTTTGAATATCTTGATGACAACTCCGTCTGACCAGTCATCATGACTATCGATACACCAAACAGGAAAATGCCAGAAACAAGGAAACGACGGGAAGTCGTAAATCTCAGAAATATAAATGACGATACCAAAGATACGATAGATGAACGTATGAAAGATGTATTTCACAAATTGCCCAAACAACCGGGAGACATTGAAGAGGAATGGAGCCACTTCAAAATATATGTGAACAGAGCATTAAAAGAAGAGTGCGGCACCAGGAAAGAGGGAAGACAGAAAAGGAAAACAACTATATGGTGGAATGTCCAAGTGAAGGAAGCCACCCAGCTGAACAAAAAGACATTCAAAAAGAGGCAAAAAATCAAATACGGAGGTGGATCACATCATATACAGAAAGGAGCGCCGTCAAACAACAAGGGTAGAAAGAAAAGCAGAGAAAAGATCCTGGACAGTATATGGAGAACAGCTGGCAACAAAATGTAAAGATCAGAAAGACCTGGCTGGATGGGGTTAGAAAGGTCCTGGAACAGCATAACATATCTATTATCAAACGCTACACGCTTAGCTCAGGACAGAAACCTGCACCTCACCTCGACATCCTAAGGATACCAGGGGAAGGAAAAAGTAAACGTAAGTAAAGGAACTCCGAACAATCTTACGATTTTGATAGAGCAGATAGACCTCGTGAACTTAGTAGCGTAAAACAGTCAAAAATGGCAGCTAGAACTTTGTAATTGGAAGGTAGCGATTTATTGTCCTTTTTTTCTCTTAACGCCGTGCCCAGAAGCGCACCCCATAACTTAAACTATGAGAAAACCGCATGTTGCTGAAAGTAGAACTGTTTGAGACTAAGATGGGGACATTAAAATATTGACCCAATCTGGAAAATTGGACTATAATGGCAGGCACAAAGCATAATATCTTAAAAATAATTCAGAGGTTATACCGTCACATGACATACAATGCCACATCTAAACAGCGAACTTTACAAAGATACCTTGCTTCTGATCTAACATGTCTGCGCCTTGTTATAGTATGGTATGTTTTTTCAACACTCTAAGATCATCAAAGAGGTACGGCCCCCGAATTTAAAGTCTGCTCTCCAAATAGCGAGACAAGTAGATAGAGATCCCGCTCCCCCCCCCCCCGGGGAAACCCCAGTTTGCTCCGTTGTAAACTACGAGGTTTTAATACATTTATATAGATATAGGCGTATTGTCTTCCTGGAGGCAACAGATCACGAAGCTGCAGCAAGTTAAATATTCACGTTTTGATGAAGTTAGCCAGTCAGACCCTAGCTCCATACAGTTGTCACCACAATAATTAACTAAGAGTTAGCAATATATTCTTGAAACGAGTACATTTATAGTAATATTTCCTTCAACAATCGTGGACCATGACTGGCTAACATCGGTGAGCCGAAACAAAAGTTATCCTAGAAGATTGGGCTTCTTAGTTTGAAATGGTGTTCTTCCCTGCTTTCACAGAATTCGATTTAATTGGATAAAAGAAAGAAAATACTGACCGGATGGTAAATGTCAAAATATGCTACCCGTTTCCCCTCATGCTTTTCGTACAGTCTTGCCAAAAGCTGCCTTCCACAGTATGTTCAGTATGCGGCCGTAAGGTACATTGGTACAGTTTTATAAGGAAATGACACGGTTTCTCACAATTGGCTTATCTCACTTATTCTATACAGGTTATTGCTTGACTTACCTGGAGTCAAAGGCGCAGTGTTTGAAGGAGATCGTGCATGGTTTGTCAAATGTGAGTCCATGCGGCCCGCAGAAGATGACAGGACTCACAAGCGCTTCCTGTCTGAGCATGCCTGGGTTGTCCGAGAGGTCCCAGTTGAGCACCAAACAGATCAGTTGTCTCCTCCCGGGCAGGATGGCAAGGGGGGGAACTCGCAGTCGGATACCCATCTTGTCAAGGTAGAGTTCTCCACCTCTACTGTCAATAGTCTTGGCGATGTGGACGAGCAGTTTTCCCTGTACAATGCTGGTCCGGCTACACTGTGTCGGAGTATACAGCGTCCGGAGAACATCTTCAGGTGGATTCCGGAACAGGAGAAGATCTTCCTGGCTCAAGTGCAATGGAGAGTCGTCAGCGCACTCACGTTCAGAGGCATGGGCTCTGCTCTCTGGACGAATGAGTGACCCGAGTTGTTTGTCTCTTTTTAGTTTTTCGTTGCTCTGTTCTAGATAGTTCGGATCTCCAGTGCACGTGCCGAGTCGCTGAAAGACATCATCGGTAGAAGTACGTTTCCTCAGAGTTTGGTGGTGGGCTTCCTCTGAAGAGTCCTCACATTCTTCCCACCTTCTTTCAGGTAAATCCGTTATTCCCTCTAGTGAGTTTGGATTCAGGGTAGGGGCGCTGTTTAGAACTGAAGGCATGGGAGAGATTTCATAGCCAGGAGAAGACACTGCAGGAAGATATCCACTATCTGCACTCGGTGGTAACCTTGACTGGTTCACACATGAGTTTTCCGTGGCAACAGCGTCGCGAGCATCAAAGCACGTCGTCTGAGCAGTGCCTCCATTGTTCTCTGGGAGGTTCAGATGTGGGCGCGGTCGAAGTTCTATCATTTCATCTCTCTCGTTGCTCTGATTTACCGAGTCTATTCGAGGAAGGACAACAACGTGGCTGGAAAATACTCGAGGTGAAAGTACATCGACGCTCCTGGTCGCAGAAGAAACATCATCAACGGGCCTCTCCAGCCTTTGAGCCATGCCGTCATCTTCATTCCCGACGCTTCTCTCAGTCACTGCCACAAGGCCTCGCGTACTGCTGGAGGCAGCTGCTGGATTTTGCAGCGCTCTCTCATTAACATGGTCTCCAGACATTCGTATAACACTGTTTCCAGGTTGGGCTGTGCTGACCTCCTCGGAACGGGAGTTATTCCAAAGCCGTGACCGATAGTTTTGAGTTTGAGTAGGGTCCGTCGCATATCTTTCAAGCTGAGGGGCGTCGAATGGAGTTTGTGCGACGTGGCTTTGAATCTGAGGGGCGTGACTTTGGATCTGAGGGGCGTGGGTTTGGGTCTGTGGGGCGTGGGTTTGGGTCTGTGGATTGACAATTGGAGCCTGTGAGGCGTGGCTTTGAATATGTGGGTTGTCGACTGTAGCCTGTGGGGCGTGGTTTTGAATCCCCTGGGTTTGGACTTGAGTCTGTGTTTCCCGACTGTATTCCTGCACGGTATGGCTTTGCACCTGTGGGGTGTGGCTTTGAGCTTGAATGATGCGAGGTTGTCTAGGTGAGTCGTGGCGAGTGGAATCTCCAATTGGTGTCCTCTGAGTGAAAAATGAGCGCGTGTCACTCTGCTGGCTGTGGCCAAGGGAGAAAACAGTGGCTGTGGAAGACGGAACGGAAGGAGCTTCTGTGTGACTGGCGTCATCCTGACGCTCAGCAGGATAACACGGTCTTCGTTGTCTGTGAGCATCCCGGCGGGGGGTACATGGAGTGTACGTTGAATGTGCTGCACACGAGCCAGACATGGGAACAGCCGTCGAGTTCTGAGAGGCACCGTAGAAGGTTGCACTAGGCAGGAACTGGCCATCAGAACCTCGGTGGCTTAAGGCTGCGGGATTCAGAGGCTGCTCGGGGGATGTGAGGTCATGTTGGGAAACGCTTCGACGAGAAACATGCTCCACTCCCTCATCTAAGTTGTCCCCGAAACTGTGGTAGGACGGAGGATGTGCGAGCTGGGAACACCCGCAGCGACGTACCTGCTGGCCTTGAAAAGGGAGGGCCGCTAGATGGCTAAGCTGGCAGTTCAGTACGGGAATGCTTCCAGAGCACAAACATCCATTTTGAGCTCTGTGCCTTCCAGTGCAAAACCTGGAGTAGATGAAAACGGCCAAGAGGGTGAGAAGAACGGCTACAGAAGCACAGGCAACGCCCACAGCTAATACAAACCCGCGACCAAACTCCTGGGGGCCTTCACCAGGCTCAGGCATTGGCGGAGGAGTGTCGTTTGCCATAGTTGACGTCGGTTATTTTCCAACACGGTGCTGTTGCTCTTTTTATCTGCCTCAGAATAGTTTCAAGGTACCACACAATTTTAAAATTATATGTTCTTGTTTTCCACACCACACGCCTTGCGTTTCCACAATATTGTTAGTGAGCTTCTCTTCACTCTTCCGTACCTGTTTCGAGGTGCATATATTTTTTTCCTTATTAATTACGAGAAATGTTGAGGGGTTACCAACTTTTTCATCAATATTCTTTTGCCTTCCACTGTATATGCATTGATATACTTCGGTATTTCCAGTATCTTTCTTTTCCTTTCACTGATATGCAGTTCGAGGTTCCAAAGAATTTTCTGCAGTTTCATCCATTCAATAAGCTTCAATGTTACTTATGATGCCGTAAACGTTTCTTAATTATTCTGCTTCCCTCCACCAAATACTTCAGGACTTCCAAACGTTTCAAAATTATTTTTTTTATAGTGTGATTGTCTGAACGTATTAACATTTGGTAACGTGGGTTTCTAACGCCGACTTCAAAAGATAGGGGTAGGAGGATCCGGGCAGGCACCACACGCGTCAGTCTGAGAAACCCTCCGCTGCATATCGTTTACTTTGCCAGTCCGGCCCATTCTTGTCACATGATGAAATAAGGCGTGCCTTTTATACTAAGTGATCCAAGGAGACAACAACTGTCGAATGAACTTGGAAACTGTAGAGAGAAAAGAGCCCGACTATTCAATAATTTTTATACAGAAGAAGGAGAAGAAGAAGAAGATTTACATTTTGGTAAGAGTTTTACGGTGCTCACAACTGCATAAGGACATAATAATGTGAGCACGATGAAGAAGAAGAAGAAAAAGAAGAAGAAGAAGAAGAAGAAGAAAAAGAAGAAGAAGAAGAAGAAGAAGAAGAAGAAGAAGAAGAAGAAGAAGAAGAAGATCAGCGACCCAAAATTAGTCAAAATCACGCGGGGACCACAATTTAATGACGGATTACCAAGTTAATTTCTTGGGTTGTGTTTTGTGTTTTGTCAAGGACTGACATTTTAAGGATAAAAAAAACAACCTGTACGTCTAAATGGAACTTCTCTCGTCGACAAACTTTCAGTTCAACGATGACCCAGATCTAGCGTCTGTCGGTTTAACTGTCAGTTTGTCGATGAATGAAACCCGGAAGATACAGAGGTCATACGACGTGCTAAATATAGCAACGTGGTCATACCAAAAACCTCTGCCAAAAACTAGAAGACGCGGCGTAGATGACAATAATAAGCGTCTGAGGGAGGAGCCGTCTGCTGAATTCGTCTGCGCGTTAAACGTGCCCAGCCAACCGGAGGGCGAAGAAATAGACGAACAATGCGCTGCTAAGAAAGCCGTAAAATAACAAATCACATAATGCAAACCATTAGCTATTAATTTTTTAAAATAGAGACAGCAACTGTACAGGTTTGTTATTAATAGTTTGCATCATGTAATGCGCTATAAATAGTAACGTATTCATACGTACAGTAATAATAATAATAATTTAATTATAGATTGTTAAAGAGCTTGCTGTTTAGCGGGACTTTATACTTTGCAAATAATAATACAAAAATAAATAGTATTTAAGTTATTATTATTATTATTATTATTATTATTATTATTATTATTATTATTATTATTATTATTGATTTTTATCATTATCATTATTAGTGTTATTCTTATACTTATTCTTATTCTTCTTCTTCTTATTACTATTAAAGGACTGGGGAGGGGAGGGGTATTCTTACAGTTAATAGCGGCAATAATAACAACATTAGAAACAACAAAGAAACCCCCCCCCCAGCCAAAAACAACAATAAACGCCATACTACTACTACTACTACTACTACTACTACTACTACTACTACTACTACTACTACTACTACTACTACTACTACTACTACTACTACTACTACTGCTGCTCCGAATGACGATGATAATAATAACCAGAAGCTTAACTACAGCAGCAACCACATATATTCAATATCAATACGATTGCTCTAGCTGCCGCTGCTGCTGCTGCTGTTGCCTCTACCTTTGCCACTACTAATGATGATGATGATAATCTTTTTGAAGAATGTTGATTGTTATAAAATCATTATTATCATTTTGTCATTATCATTGTTGTCGCTGTCATCTTCATCATCATTATCATCATCATCATCATATTGTTATTGTTATTGTTGTTATTATTATTATTATAATTATTATTATTTTTTATTATTATTATTACTATTATTATTATTATTATTATTATAATTTTAAAAAATAATATTAATAATAATAATAATGATAATAATAATAATAATAATAATAATAATAATAATAATAATAATAATAATAATAGTAATAATAATAATAATAATAATAATAATTATAATAATAATTATTATTATTATTATTTTGGTATTAGTATATTTCATTTTAGCAAGTACGGGCTTCTGTAAAATGCATTTCACTGGAAGAAAGAAAATTGCGTCTCACAACAAGTACTTAATAACTCGCTTAAATAAGGTGCAAAATACTTCCGTAAAGGGGCAATCTGGTATTTGACATTATAATCGTTTTGTGTTTTGGCTTCTATTGCCCTGTCAATACGCTCAGCTTAACTGAAGATACTCCTCCATTGGTATGTCAACCCGAAACGTGTTCGAGATTTGTTTCGTTGATGATAATAATAAATAATAATAATAAATAGCATTTGTATAGCGCATATCCCCGCTCAACAGCAGGCTCTATGCGCTTTACACTATATTATTACCCCAGCAGACCATAGAACACTCCGAAACATTCTCAGCTTCCCTGGAAGCATACAGTGCAAGCAGCTGATTAAGCGCTCAAACACTAACAAACTGACAAGATCTTTCGCTCTCTATAGCCGGGTACCCATTCCCACCTGGGTGAAGTGCGGAAAATTCGTGTAAAGTGCCTTTCCCAAGGACACAACGTCGAGCCCCTGATGGGATTCGAACCCACGACCTTACGGTTGCGAGTCCGAGAGCCTAACCACTAGGCCACCGACGCCATAACGTTTAGGTTACCTTGTGTTCTTCTCGTTAACCTTGTCACCATTATCGCAATTAATGCAATAGCATTTTACTACAACGTTTACCGCAAGAAGTAATCAGACTTGAAGTCTTATCTTGTAAGCAAGTGCCAGTTCATTAACAGACAACATTTATTTTTGGGTTGCTGTTTTTTGGTAAGTGTTTTACGGCGCTCGCAACTGCATAATGTCATATGAGCGTGCGGGACACATTAAACATTTTCAGTTGGTAGGGAATTTTGAATTTTGCCAGGGGGGCGGCCGAAACCTACTCTTATCGATTTTAGACCAAAAAGGGATCTTTAACGTGCGCAACTTGCATACGGGACCTCTGAGATTTTTTGCCCTTGTCCGAGAAGGCTAAGTATAGATCTTTCCTACCAGATCAAGGGTGTGGCTGAAAGACAGCAGTAAGAAGGAACCAGTTCATCAACAGACAAAATTTGTGTACTCTTTACGGAGATAACGAACACATAATGATTATCCGTCAGCGTGGTGGAATCATGCCCTCGTCAAAATAATCAAAGAGAAGAAACTTGCATTTTTCTGCAGGTTTGTGAATTTTTATCACATTTTTGTTTTTTAGCATAATACCCTTCATGCCCTTTAAAGAACTAATTTCTGAGTTAATTTTTCTGAAACACGTTGATTAAAAGCACAAAAAATGTAAATTTTCAGTTACCACGGACTCTTAAGCTAAGGAAATAACTAATCTTTGACGGCCATTTTCTCACTAATTTCGCCCCTGAAAACAGGAGACCCCACCTCCTTCATTTGCAAATATCTCGACTTGTATTCAAGATAAATGGATCTTTTTTCATCCAAATAAAGACAAGTGAACAAGCTTTAGAATGATGCAAATAACTCTATATGACCAAAAATTGACGAAAGCCTGATTCCACCACGCTGCCTCACAATGTCCGATCAGCAGCAGACCAAAGACTGATGGCGTCGGTGGCCTAGTGGTTAGGCTCTCGGACTTGCAACCGTAAGGTCGAGGATTCGAATCCC